GCTTGCTCTCGCCGCTTTCTTCGTGTTGCTTGCTCGCTTCTTGCCCTTGTAACTTCCTGTTTGCCATCTCTTGCTTGCTTCGTCCATGTTCCCGGTTCACAACCTTTGCTTTCTCTTCCCTTTTGCCTCTTGCTTCTTCTTGCTTGCTTACCTTCTTGCTTTTGCGGCTTGCTTTCACATGCTTGTTGCTCGCCTTTCTGCTTCTGCTTCTGTTTCTACGCTAGCAGCTAGCTTCTGTTTCTTCCCTTGCTGCTCGAAATGTCTTCTCTGACGCGCTCCCCCTTGCTGTCGGCAGGGGTCGGCGGATATCGGAACAGATCGATACCGGTGGCAGATGAGTGCAGGATAGCGCAGGCTTTTTCCAGAGCAGGTGCAGCTGTTGTCTCAGGTCTCAGACCTGCTGGACGGGCTTGGGCCCGCTGCAGGTATCGCTTTCAGTCTGGACTTCGCCGCTGGCGATTTCGTTGCAGGGCCGCGCTGGTGAAACGATGCCGATGAAGTACGGTCGCTTCACAGTGTTCTTCATGAGATCGTTTTGGGCTGTTTGAAGCTCGGTTGGTGCCGGTTGAAAGTCAGAAGTAGAAGTCAACAATATAATGCAATTTTTGACCTTTGTATATATATATATAATTATATATATAGTTATATGATTAAATTATACAGTTATATACGTGTATATACTGTGTATATATACATATATATATATATACTGACTAGTCGACGGATGGCCCGAGAGCGTAGAGGAGCAGAGTCTTCTGTTGTTAGTATGGAGACACTATATTACAAGACAATATATTAAAGATGTATTATAGGCAGACGAGAAGAGTAGTATCAAGACAATATATTACAAGTACAAGACAATAGTTTGCATCGTATCTTTCGTAAAGTTTTTCACACACAGAACTTTTTACAGACAGACGCTTTTGCACACAGAGACTTTTACACACAGAGGCTTTTACGCACAGAGGCTTTTACGCACAGACGCTTTTACACACAGAGGCTTTTACACACAGAGGCTTTTACACACAGAGGCTTTTACACACAGAGGCTTTTACACACATACACTTTTACACACAGAAGCTTTTACACACAGACGCTTTTACACACAAACACTTTTACACACAGAGACTTTTACACGCAGAGACTTTTACACACAGACGCTTTTACGCACAGAAGCTTTTACACACAGACCCTTTTACACACAGACGCTTTTACACACAGACGCTTTTGCGCACAGAAGCTTTTACACACAGAGACTTTTACACGCAGACCCTTTTACACACAGAAGCTTTTACACACAGAAGCTTTTACACACAGAAGCTTTTACGCACAGACGCTTTTACACACAGACGCTTTTACACACAGACGCTTTTACACACAGACGCTTTTACACACAGACGCTTTTACACACAAACACTTTTACACACAAACATTTTTACACACAGAGACTTTTACACACAGACGCTTTTACACACAGAAGCTTTTACACACAGACCCTTTTACACACAGACGCTTTTACACACAGACGCTTTTACACACAAAAGCTTTTACACACAGACGCTTTTACACACAAACACTTTTACACACACACACGCACTTTTACACACAGAGACTTTTACACACAGACGCTTTTACACACAGAAGCTTATACACACAGACTCTTTTTCACACATTTTACGCACAGACACTTTTACACAAAGAAGCTTTTACACACAGAAGCTTGTACACACTTCGCCGGACAACTTGGAAATCGCAATTTTACCTCAGTTTTTGGGGATCGAACCTCATTTCGTGCGAAAGGGTTCGCGGGACAACTTGGAATTCGCAATTTTACTTCAGTTTTTGGCGATCGAACCTCATTTCGTGCGAAAGGGTTGCGCGGGACGACTTGCAAATCGCAATTTTACCTCAGTTTTTGGTGATCGAACCTCATTTCGTGCGAAAGGGTTGCGCGGGACGACTTGCAAATCGCAATTTTACTTCAGTTTTTGGCGATCGAACCTCATTTCGTGCGACAGGGTTGCGTTTCGTGCGTCTCGTTGGCACTGCCCCGCGCCTTCAAGAGAGAAATAGAAAAGAAGGAGAGGGCAAGAGGGCAAGAGAGCAAGAGGGCAAGAGAGAAGATGTGAAGATGAGAAGATGTGAAGATGTGAGGATGTGAAGTTGTGAAGATGTGAGGATGAGAAGATGTGAAGATGAGAAGATGTGAAGATGAGAAGATGTGAAGATGAGAAGATGTGAGGATGAGAAGATATGAAGATGAGAAGATGTGAAGATGAGAAGATGTGAAGATGAGAAGATGTGAGGACGAGAAGATGTGAAGATGAGAAGATGAGAAGATGTGATGATGAGAAGATGTGAAGATGAGAAGATGTGAAGATGAAAAGATGTGATGATGAGAAGATGTGAAGACGAGAAGATATGAAGATGAGAAGATGTGAAGATGAGAAGATGTGAGGATGAGAAGATATGAAGATGAGAAGATGTGAAGATGTGATGATGAGAAGATGTGAAGATGAGAAGATGTGAAGATGAGAAGATGAGAAGATGTGAGGATGAGAAGATGTGAAGATGAGAAGATGTGAAGATGTTCTACAGACCCCCACTATTGGAAGAACCCTGCGCTCAGACGCTCTCGGGAACAAAAAATGATGGCAGTCTATAAGACGCACGACACTGCAAAGACATTTTTAAGAGTCTTTCGGCCGCCGTGACAATTCACTCTGGTCAATATATGACGTACTATGATACACTCTCTAACCGGCAGTCCAACCACACTGAACCCGTTCACAGCCAGCTACAAGTAAGCAATTGCCGTGAGAGCGTGTCTTCCAGGAAGATGTCTGATGCTTAGAAGCAAACACGAGTCACCACTTTGCTCTCTGTTGCACTCATGACACTCATGGTTTTGCTCAGGTTGTTGAGCATTGGTGGCAGCCATATATATATATATGTATATATATAGGTATGATAATGTATATATATATAGGTATGTATATATATATAGGTATGTATATATATATAATATACACATGCATACAGTATAAAAAATATAGGTTGTCCAGAGTAGTTGGTGAATGAATAATTTAGAATATTGTAAAACTTCTGCGACCATTCTGGGACAAAACATTTTTGGTTCAGTCTCCACGATTATGTATCGACATGGGATGGGCCTGACATGGGATCGCAATTGTTGAGACAGGGCTAGAGGATCAGAGCTGTGCAGCACACCTGCTACAAGTAGCTGCAGTCTGCGAAATTCTGTGTATTTTGATCTTTTTGTTATTTTTTCAATATTTATTTATATAATTAATGAATTTAAGGTTCTTCCAATTGGTTCGTGGCAGCATGCAGTGTTTTTCACGAGTGTCAGACATTTGCTACCTTCGCCATCTCTGGCAATCTGACCTCGAAAGCGAGGAGGGTTGAGGTGTGAGTTGCAGCTGTACACAGGGCTCTTTTCCATTGCCACAGAGAGTTTACAGTGAGTTTAAAGTGAATAGAGGTGTGATTTCCGTGATCTCATTCGATATCTAAATTCGGGCAAGTTACTGGCAAGTGCCCTGATGCTGCGCCGTCGTCTCCACGGTGGGCAGTTTCCGGATGCTTTTTGGCAAGGCCTGCGAATGCGAGGCAAACAAGCCTTTCGTTGAACTGAAGGGTTGCTCTCGGTGGTGATAAGTACCCTGCTAAATACCATACTGTTACCTTCGCCCAAACGGTTCCCATATGATTTTTCTGTGCGTTGGCAACGCAACCCTGCGCGGACTGCAAGCTATTTCAGAGGTATGGGTCCTCCAATGGGTGCAAGAGCTGGATGTCCGGTCATAAATCAAGTTGAGAATGGCAAGATATGGCAAGTAAGGTCTTGACCCTCAGGTAGTGCCAGTTCCTACCATAAGATGGATCACAGAGACAGGTGCTTTTGCATCGTCGGTGGAGTCCTAGACTTGCCGCGGGGAAGCACATCACATGAACAATCATCTAAACATGTTCATCATAGCACCTAAATCATTGCAGCTTCGTATGCGAATCCAGAATTGGTGTGTCCTGTGGCATCAGAGGAAAAACAAGACATAGAAGAAATTGAACACTTATGTGGCAAAGTTTGCTTGAAGACGACAAGATTCCTTAATACTATTTCTGCACGATGGTGGTCTAGTAGAAAGTCAGTGGTCTGGTGCTTGCTCTCCTAGCCAATCAGCGTTTATACAGATTTCATGCAGACACGGACTATCTGGACATGATATGTGCATGTATGTGCGTCAGTGACCTATCTTCAAACACCGGATATCAAGATACCACAGTTCTGTGTCGACGTAGTCGTTGGGGGAACCCATCCTCTGGAGCCATGTCCCCTGCCATGTTTTGGAGACGATCTGCCCATCCTGTTTGCAATGCACAACTTTGTGCAGCTCGCTGAGAGTCAATGGACAGCGTCAGAGTTTGTGCAATTCTCGTGTGGCCGAGTTGACGTTCTTGCAGGGTAAAGAAAAACCAAGGATTTTGCAATGACGTTACTGTACAGCTCTTGGTCTTGGGTTTCATGTTTTGACATTTAGCAGCGGCAGTAGATTTTGCTTTGACATCTCTTGATGATGGTGAGGTCAAGTGGGGTAGCTCGAGTGCTGGACCGTTTGACTGGGAGTTTTCCCAGACAGAGCATTCTGCGATGGAACATTGACCAGGTAAAATATCGGCCACAAGAGTGAATTTCTTGTCCTGAATTAGGATTTCTAGACTCTTAAATTGCCATAGTGTGAGTTTGACTATGAGTTGCTTTGCACGAGATGTCTTTTTAGGAACTGCTTGACGCACAGTGCCGCTTTCTCTGGACATGGCATCAGCCAATGAATGCTTCTGGATAGTTTTGACGGAATGCCCAAGCAAACATAAGCAAACATAAGCAAATCTATGAAACCATGATAACCATGTCTCTCTATGTCTCTATAGATGCTTAGGTGGGGCATGGCATGGTAGGGCAATGTATTCATCCTTCACTTCGCCGTGCAGCCATGGACCAACTGCGGTGCCTGACCTTGAAAGTGCGATCCTTCCAAAAGGCTGGGGCTCCCTCCTGGACGAAAGCAGAATCCAAGACCTCGAGTTGGATTTATCAAGTAAGTGGACCCAAGCAAGAGACCTTGATGCTCAATCCCAGATAATCTTGCAACTTATCTAATCCTTTTTTTGCGGGCAGAAATCCAGTCAACGGGTATACGGAAATATACATTGCATTCATTAAACACACACACATGTGTATATTTATATATATATACACGTATATATATATATAAATGTATTTACATATCATACACATATATATACATATATATACATGTACGCGCATATGTATATGTTTATGATATGTATGTGTGCATGTATATGCGTATTGTGTACATGTATATGCGCACGTCATACACGTGCTCAGATCTTCAAGTATTCGCACGCACACATCCCCCCACGCGCAGATCTCCTTGGCCCTTCAAAAGTGATGATCAAAGGTGGGAGGGATTTCCTGATGCCATCCTTTCCATTTGGCCAGTCAAGCGACTATGCAAGACAAGCTTGGAATTTCTATTGCGACTGCCATGGTAGTGGCGTGAGGGATCCACGGCGTCCAGGCCTCAGTCTTGAATCAGTGCTGAGATGGCGACGTTTAAACATGTCCTGCTGAGTTGCCACATGGGATCCGTATAAGCTTTTTGGTGAGTTTTTGCAGCTTCATGTGATCCTATGTATCAGCATTCCTTCCATATTTCTGGTGACGGGGTAATCTGGGGGCCTTCTGGTGAGGGTTCCCTTGGTTTCTCAATGGCTTCAAAAGGTGACGTCTTCCCTGTTTCGCAGCCTGTCCCACCAAGGCTATCAAGCCCTTGTGGCTGAGGTATAACCCCCACGCTTTGTCCTTCACTTTGGGATTCCGTTAAGCCGTTAAGCTGTTGGTTTTAAACATTTGCCAAAGGCATCAGGCCCCCCTGGCATTGTTTAAACATAGGATTTGTTGTTGAAACTGCTTAAGCAAGGAAACTGCCCAACTATGTAGAATCTAATCTGAGCAAAGGAACAGTCATCAATCAATCATTAATCTATAAAATTGGAATTTTGCTCTGACATTCAAACAAGTCACAAACAATTTTGATTTGGATGCTCATCTATTGTCGCACTGTATCCAAGGCAATGACAGGCCGTTCTAAACAGGGCAAGCTGTTGAGTGCTGGAGGGTATGCTAGAGGTGCTTCGGCTCAGGATAATCCTCAGAAGCATCCAGCATCCTTAAACAATCCTTAAATCACATTCAAAGGAACATATTTTTCTGTCTCACAGGTCACACAAAGGAGTTCCTAGAGGCCTTTTTCAAGGCCGAAGAAGAAGGAGATCTTGAAGGCCTAGAGGAATGGAAGGAGAATTCTCGGTGTGCGTGGCTTTCCCACAATTTTTGGGAAACAGCTTCATTCCTGTACTCTTGCTTGGGCCTGAAACTTATTGCCACTCTCAGCGACATTTGTTTCGGTTGCTTTAGCTCTTGGGATATTCGCGACTAATCACAGGCTTCATCCTGTGAAACCCTGCCCCTTATGCTTAGTATGATAGTCCCATAGGACTCAGCTGTTTCTGCGATTTTCTGCGTGCTCGTCCAGATTGACCCCGCAGGACCCAGAGGAGACGATCCGCTACAAGGTGGAAATTGCCCTGCCAGAGGTTTCTGTTGCAGAGGTTGAAGCTGCTGATGCCAGGATGGTTCAGGTCCCCTGGCTGTCCCAAAAGACAGTTGACCAAAAATGAATGGTGAGGGCTTTCCCTGTGAGGATTTGATCCGAAAATATCCTGAGAAAAGCTGAGAAAAGATCTTCGCTACAGCTGCAGAAGTCTCAACTCCAGCCATCCCGGCCATCCCGGCCATCCCCAGGCGCAGGCTGCCTCTTGGACCGAGCTATGGCGAAACTTCCCCGGCTCTTGGCAGGGCATCTATGAGGCGCCCGCCAAGCTCGGAGCCTGGGATTCAGCGGCCCAGGATGTCGGATTTTGATGGATTTTGGGAGCCAAATCCCAATAGATCTCAATGGATCTCAATGGGTAACTTAAAGCTTGTGGTAACTTTAGGATCATCTTTTAGGATCTCTTGAATCCATATAGTTTTAGAATATATCTTTTAGGTACAAGTACCAAGATGTACCAAGCCGATCCCATCGATCCCATCTCAGGATCAGACCCAGGATCAGATGATGAAATTGAGATCCATAAGGCAATTTTACTTCTTGTGATGGAGCATTTGATAAGAGTGCTGAAGCTCTGGACCCGAAACTATGGAGACAAACCAACATAGCCATTGCCTGTCATATAATTATAATGGTTGACTGCTGGTGTTTTGATGGGGCAGCGGAACAAGAGACCTTCAGGATATGACCTTCAGAAGTACGACTTCCTGACGCTTTTGCGTGATGCTTTGATGCATTACTTGTAGATAGTCGTTGGCTTTGGCTGTTCGCGTTTATGTTGCGTGTTGGATGAATTCAAATGGTAACTGTATCTCTGTCTGACCCTATCTTCTGGAAAGACACTGAAAGGATCTGAAAGGTACATTATTCTGCATGACATTACCAGTAGTACCGCACAAGGCGGTGGAAGAAGTTTCAAAAATAGGAAACCTATAGGAGAGGTTGGTTGTTGTGAATCACGGATGGCAGAGCGAAGCCACTGATGGACCGAAAGGTGGTTGAGGTCTCCTCTCTTTCTCTCTCTTTCTCTCTCTCTCTCTCCCCCTCTCTCTCTCTTTCTCTCTCTTTCTCTGATTATCTACCTGCCTGCCTACCGTCTATCTATCCATCTATCTATCTATCCATCCATCTATCCATCCTTTCTATCTATCTAACTGTCTATCTATCTATCTATCTCTCTCTCTCTCTCTCCCTCCCTCTCCCTCTCTCTATCTATCTATCTATCCATCCATCCATCTATCTATCTATCTCTCTCTCTCTCTGTCTGTCTGTCTGCCTGTCTGTCTGTCTGTATCTATCTATCTATCTACCTATCTATCTATTTATCTATCTATCTATCTATCTATCTATGCGAATGGGGACTATACCAGAGTGTACAACAGTATCCCCATGTAAATAGCCAGGTACCACTCCAGCCAAAGGGTCAATCGCAAAACCCTCTGGCTCAAGTCACCTTACTGCAATTGTCCGATCAAAATAGAAAGCTATGCCGAAGCCGTGAACTGGACGTCATCGACTCACACGGGACAACTCATTCCTACACCATCAAGAAGCACATATCGGAAGGAATCTCCGATTCACAGGTTATCAGCCGTAGGACTCCTACGGAGCCTACGAGCGGGTAGCCGCGGGCCTTACAGATGACTGAACAGGATAGCAGCGATAACGCATTTTCTTTCTCTGGACATGCCGTTGCACCAGCTGCCGGCACGCAGTCAAATTCTTCACAGAGTATCGACACTGGTGGAAGCGATGCCTCAGAACTGAGAACGAGCCTACCCAGACGACCTCTGGTTGCTCCTAGAGGGAGACAAATTTCGACAATGCAAGCAATTGAAGATAGGGACAGCACACCTGGAAAGAGAAGATCATCTGCACGACAATTGTCGCCTCCGATGACTCCAAGGACTAAGGCAAAGACTACGTCGTCGAATCCGCCTTCACCGATTCAGGATGCTACTCCATCAGGGACAGGATCTTATCAACAAGTGAACGCCCCATCAAGTGGTAGCGACATCTTCACTGCCTATCAGAGCGAATTAGCTGAATACAAGACATCACTGGAAAAGGCTACTGAAGAAGAATCCGTACTTCAGGCAAGATTGACTGAGACGACAGCATATGCCTATCAACAGTTTAATTTCCTGGAAAGCACCACTCATCAAGAGATGATGTCGATGACTGAACAACTCCAGATGCTGAACTTTGAATTACAAGCTGCACAACAAGAAGATGAAGGTGCAACCTACAGGATCGAAGAGTTGGAGAGGTATCAGACTATGTCAAATGAAGCTGCATCTCATTTGGAATTTAGATATTCACGACTACGTTCGGAATTCGATGAACAAATGGGACAAGCGAACGCAATTATGGTACATGTGGGCGCTGATGCGAATGCTCACATCAATCAACTCAGACTGGAACTGGAAAACGCAGAGATGAACGCAAAGCAAGAAGCTCTGGCGGTCGGCTACGCTAACGACCAGACATGTGCTTTACAGATCGAGATGCTCGAGGTTGCTAATCAGAACCAGACGATGAAGCACACCATGTCCATGAATGTTAGACGACTGGAGACTGAGCTCGATGCTGCTGACATGAAGAGGGACGAGATCATGAAGGAGTTCCGTAGTAACATAAGATCTGAACATGACCGTTATGCAGAATGTGAACATCACTTAGCTTTGGAGGAATCGCAACTTCGATTGCAGGTGATTCACAATGAGAACTTACAATCTCGACTAGCGACTTCTGAGAGCAAGGTTTCTGAAGAATCTCTAGCTGAATCAAGTGGCATGCGGGACATGAGGATAATGGGACTACGTTCGGAACTACATATGAAACAAAGTCTTTTAGATCGAATGCAACAACAACTGACTGAATCGAAAAATCAATATCATGAACTTTCCTGTCAACAAGCCAGAAGATCCTCGCCAAGCAGATCACCACATGGAGGGTTATTACATGAAATGTACATGCAAGCTGTACGTGAACGTGACAACCTGAAGGAATCCAAGGCTGAAGTTGACAAGTTGTACTTGCAGAACAGAACTGAGCTCATTGACACGGAGAACCTGCTCAAAACGTTTCAGCAACATTTCGATGAAACTGGTAAGAAGTATCAAGATGCTCTGAACAGGATCGATCACATGAGCAACAATCCGAATGTGACGAGTAACTTGTTCGATGATCTACACAATGAAATCAATGACAGGGATACAGCCATTGCTCGCCTTCATACTGAACTTGAAACCCAAAAGGATTCTCTTGAGCGTGCTCACAGGGATGCAGGTAAGTCCATCAAGATGTTGAACTATAGAAGACTCGTGATCAAAGGTGCGACTGACTATTCCATTCCTGAGAGCCACTTGACTGAGATGCATCAATTGGCTAGTGAACGTTTCGCCGAAGTAGAAGAGATGTCGAGCACCATTGCTGCCCTGAAATTGGAAAACCAGGCTTATTCTTCTTCATCATTGAACAAACCGGCTACATTACTTGGGTACCCCAGTAGTGCTATGCCTCGAAATGAATGTGAAGAGAAGTGTGCCAAACTGAAAGCAGAGTTGGACGAGATGAAGCAAGAGAGGAACGCTGAAGTTCGAAATCTTCAAAATGAATTAAGGAAGATGGAAGATCGGAAAGATTACTACAAGAACAATTTCTCTCAAGCTGAAGATCGTGACAACGATGAAGAGCAGGAATACCGAGCAGAAGCTGAAGCCTTCGAGAAGCTCAGAAATGAGTACAACACCAATGTCAAGGAGTTGGAGAACCTTGAGAAGGATAGATCTAAGTCATCTGTATCTCTAAGGGAAGCCGAAAAGATCAGTCTCCAACCTTGGCCCAAGACCACTGAACTTTCATCCTGGAAGGGAAGTGTTGTTCATGAAGTTTGTGTTGCAAGTGGAGATCGAAACTATGAAGATTGGAAAGCGTGGCTAGCTCCGTGTCTTGCAGATCAACCTGACTTGGAGGCTCTGGCCAAAGCACCCGATATGAGATTCCAATCCATTGATGCCAAGCTCTCCAATGCCTTGAGGAAAGTCATTGACAATGCTGGGGACAAGTCCATGCAAGTGAAGTATGACATGTCCATGAAGAACCAAATGTATGGGAGGAGTGGGGACTTCATCAAGGGACGAGAACTATTCGCAATGGTCTTGATTAGCTTCAAGTCGCCTGACCATACTGAGGTTCTCTACAACGCCCATCATTTGTACATGTTCAACTACTATGGAGATGACCAACTTGAGGCCTTCTACAACAAGTGGCTTGACATCATATACAACATGAAACATGATGATCTGCCTTCTGCAAATTCCCTGCGTGACACATTGTTCCGGAAGATTGAACATTCAAAGCTTATGTCTTTCGATATCAGCCGATACAAAACCTACGATGAAGGGCATCCTGAAAAGACTTATGAATTCCTGACCGGTATGATCAAAGGGTACATAGCGCGAGGAAAGCAAGAACGACTGTTGAAAGATAGAGAACGTGCAGTGAAGCTGTCATTGTCCTCTAACAAGACAACACCTGCCCTGGAAGATGCAGAAAAGCCTGCTGCTCCCATTAAGACCAAGAAGGAGAATGAAGCAGCTGCATCGTCTACAGGTGATCCTCCCAAGCGACCTAAAGCGAAGGCGAAGAGTGAAGCTGCATCAGTACTCCCAACACCTTTTTTCGAAATCTCATGCCGACAAGAACAACAAGAAAGGCAAAGGTGGGAAGGGGAGATCGTCTTCACCCATTGACAAGAAGAAGATTTTCTGCAATTACTTCTTCAATAAAGGAGGATGCAACAAAGGTGACAAATGTCTTTACAGTCATTCTCAGAAGGTCTATGATGCCAAGATGAAAGGTAAGAAGGGCAGAAGCGGAAGTCGAGATTCATCAAGGGGGAAAAGTAAAGGAAGTTCATCTTCAGCTGGACCCAAAAAGAAGATATGTTGGAATTGGCAGAAGGGTACCTGCACGTTTGGGAGCAAATGCAAATTCCTACATGCAGACCAATCGCCTTCAGCATCATCAGAGAAGAGCAGCAAGAAGACACCAAAGAAGAAAGCAACTCCCATTACCATTGATTCCTTCTTTGATAGCGACAATGAAGATTCTTTGGATTATACCTCACCGAGGATAGCCAGCGCAAAGAAGTCTTCTGATGTTCGCAGGATCTCATTTGAACTGGAACCTGAAGTGCACGAGATCGCCATAGAGAACTACCAGGAGGGATTACCCAAACGCATGTATCGTGATCCCAACAAGCAATATGTCTTCTGGAAGATCGATGATTTGACCGATGATCAGTTCAAGTCCGACAACACCCTCGGATCAGTCCGAGCACGGGCAAAGGCTATCATCATGGATAGATGCGGACCTCATCGTTTTGTTGATGAAGTTAGAATCATCATTGGCCCCAAGTTCGACATGTTGATCAAACTGGACGATGATCATGAGGACCTGACTTTCGTTGAAGAACTTGTTGAACATGAAGCTGGAAAATCCCTCATGAAGTCCAAGAATATGATGTGCATTTCATTACCAGTACAAGCCAAAGATCGAAGATTCATCCTGGATTCTGGCAGCGGACACGACCTGATTTCTGCAAGGAAAGCTGAAAGGATGAACTTGAAGCAACGAACTTGTGATCCTATTATGTTCCACACCGCCAATGGTTCAACTGCTACTCAAACGGAAGCGGAGATTGACCTGGGAACCT